AAAAAAAAAAAAAAAAAAAAAAAAAAAAAAACAGCTGATGCTGCTGGATCACCACTATAATGATTTTGTGTAACCAACAGAAAAATGCGAGGATTGTGTTTCAATAACGAAATGCGTGCCGGCCTTAGAAAGAGTAAAACGTTCAAAAAGCGAGGCAACAGTAAGATTACTGAAAAGTGCACACTGTGGCTTTGATAATGGCTCTCACAAGGTTAAATTATATATATTTTTTTTTAGATATTTACTTACTAGCAGTCGCCCGCGACTCCGTCCGCGTGGAATTAAAAAGAATATAATTAGTAGCCTATGTGTTCTTCCAGATTATATTCTATATTTATATTATACTAAATTTCATCGAGATTCGTTCAGCCGTTCTGGTGATATCTTCAAACAAACATCCACCCATCCAAACATTCGAATATTAGTAAGATGAGAAGTAAGAAGTAAGATATGTTTTAAAATTTGATTATTGGCGGTGGAAACTGTTGATTAATGAAAACACAGCGATAACCAATTTGGAGAACTTACAACTCGTTTGCCTTCTACTCATTTTTATTTTCTTTCAACAGTTTTGCTGCATGGAATTTATGATTAACATGCGAACACCTGACTATGACCCAAATGAAAAATTCGAAATTGAGAAACATCCCAATATAAATCTGTTATCAGTAGAATGCGGAGATACGGACGGAAGTAAAATTGTTGGGGGAAACAGAACTACATTATATGAGTTCCCCTGGTTAGCAATCATCATGCATAAGAGTGAGTTCTTAATTCTGGGTTTTGACTGTAGCGAAACTTGTATCAAAACATATGTCAACTCTCATATTCTCTTCGCAAAAAACAGAGACAACGATAAATCATCATCATAATCATAATCATCATCATCATCATCATCAGCTCACTATACGTCCCCACCGAGGGGCTCGGAGCCTACCCTAAGTTAAGAGTGATTAGTCCATAGTCAACCACGCTGGCCAAGTGCGGGTTGGTTGACTTCACACATATCTTTGAATTTCTTCTCAGATATGTGCAGGTTGCATCACGATGTTTTCCTTCACCGTAAGAACAACGGATAAATGTACATATGTAAATCGGAAATCGAAAAACACATTGCGGGCGAACCCAGGACCTGCAGATTGCAAGTCACCCAAGACCCCTGAAACACAGACGCTCCGACGATACACATATAGGAAATATATTTTACTTCGATATTTCATAGTCATTCAAATTTTTATAGTATGTACATATAGTGGGTAATAATGGTATAATACTATTTCGAAAAGCAGATGGCAATTCTTTAAGTATGAACTGTGGTGGTTCGTTGATTAATGCAAGATACGTGCTAACCGCAGCACATTGCATTAAGGGAAGAGAAGTCGCCAAAGTCCGGATTGGAGAATACGACCTGAGTACAGAAATCGATTGTACTGGAGAAGATATGTTTACCCAGTGCGCACCTAAATATCAGGTATGAAGATTTTTTATGAAATTTATTTTAAAAAATCTGTATCTTTAACATTTGTAGAGAACGCAGCATTAGCTGCAGCAGGAATAGCTCGCTCGGCCAGTGCGGCTACGATCACCCAGAAGATAGGCGTGAAATGGAAATAATTTTTTCCTTCTGTACATAAATAAAAGTGTAATTTGAATATCTTTTAAACCCTTAATTGATGTTTTGTTTGTTTTTGAACAAATCTTCCGACCTTAATTAGACTCACTACCCGTTGTCAGATTTTTCCGATATTTGGTATATACTTTAGACCTGATGAAAATGCAATTTTTATATTCAGTTTCATTTTAAATCCAAGGTGGCAGCCGCCACATAATGACCGATGACATATTGCACAACCCCCCAACTCCCAACATTGGCATAAACAAACACCATGAACAATCAAAAATGGCTGCCAATAAAAATGGCAAATAACACATATTTTCTATCATCTTAATATAGGTATCAAATGACAGAATTTGACAAATAGAACCCCGTGGTAAAGTCAAATTTAAACATTAACTAAAAACTTAGAAAATAAATTGCTTAAAGTGTGTTTTATATTACAAAGAATTCAGAATTAAGGTTATAAAAATGCATTGTACACTTTGTCATTATTAACAACTTTCTTTCTGTTTTTTGACAGGACATAGATGTGTCAGAACAAATACATCACGAAGCGTACAATGACGACCCAATGATCGTAAACGACATCGGTCTTTTACGTCTTAAAAACTCTGTTAATCTTAACTTGAGTAAGTTCTCGTTAAGTTATACAAAACATCGAGAAGTCTACTAGAATGTCTGATCCGTCATAAAATAAAACTTTTTTTTTAGGGAACTCTGGTCTGATATGCCTGCCAATAACAGATTCACTGCTAACAGTAGACATATATGGTGAAAGAGGGATTGTCGCTGGTTGGGGTTTAACTGAAAATTTAGCAAAATCCGATGTCCTCCTCAAAGTTACAGTTCCAATATATTCGCCTAGAACGTGCTTACAGCGGTATTACAGGTTAGTACGAGTATGTAAACCTAACATAATAAACCGATGAAAGATGTGTGAAAACTATTAATATATTCCACTAGACAGGCTATAAGCCGTGATATTTTGTGACTAGTTGATTAACGCCATTTTGGTGCTCAGAAAAACTATAATTTCCTAATAGCGACCTATCCAGCAGATATCTAATAGATTTTATTTATTATTTTGGGCTGCGGCTATAGTCTAGTTTTATATCTAGATTGATGATTTTAATTTTGTTAATTCTTTAGGAATATCCATTACACCACGGAATCGTTAGATCGATTCACGAACATGTTCTGCGCTGGTGAGTTAGGTCACGACTCATGCAAAGGCGACTCCGGAGGGCCACTTATGTATGAAGGTTTCATATCAAACACGTACAAACTCATACAATACGGTATCGTGTCTAACGGAAATATGGACTGCGGTACAGAACCACCTACTATTTACACAGATATTAGAAAATATATGAAATGGATTTTGGATCACATGAGGCCTTAATCACCTAGGAACAAAATTGTGAAGGATATTTTTTTTTATGATAATGATTAAAATTATAAATAAACTAGCGGACCCGACAGACGTTGTCCTGTCTACACGTCTTTAATTTGAATAAATTAATATGAAGTTAATATTTGATGAAAATTGTGAATCTAAACCATTCCCAGATCCCCTTGAACACACACAATAAATTTCATCAAAATCGGTCCAGTCGTTTGAGAGAAGTTCAGTGACATACACACTCACAAAAGAATTATATATATAAAGATGAAGACTTTTTGTACCGATACCTAATAAACATTTCATTCAGGTTGGATAAACACATATCTTAAAAAAACTAATGCGACATTTTATTCTTTTGAGACGAACAAAGAAATATTAAGGCGAATTAATCCCTTATAAGGGTTTACTTATAAACATTTGTATCTGGCTGTTTTTAGTTTAATAGTTTCAATTATAAAGAAGATAATTCCAAATTCAAATTTTGAAGATGAGTGATTTTTCTTTGTTTTTCTTATCGTCAAAATTAGTGCATCTAATACAAATTGGATAGATTAAAAAAAAAGTAGAAAGTGAAACGCAAGCCGCGAAAAAAATACGATGTTTATAAACCTAGAGCAGTAGATACAGCTCTAGGTTTATTTGGATAAAGCGTTTCTTTCGATGTCCAAGGAGCACGTTGCTCTTCGCCCAGTTACAAATAAATTGGCTGCCATTTTTGAAAAAGTGGAACATCAGCATATCATTTGTTACGACGTAGCTGAATAACTTAAAACAGAATCTTTCTTAAATATATTAGAAGTTGGAAAACGAACATGCGGTGACCTAAACTCGTCGACATAAGGAAGCTATCGCTGCCCATAGATATCTGCATTTGTAGATATGTTGCCTACCATTCTTGCTATGCGTCCCTTCTCCGCCAAATCCACTTCCCCTCTCCATAATTTATTTTATAAACGTAAAACCTAAAAGACTACAAAACAGTGTTGGCGCATTAAAAAAACTGAGTCTTAACTATATTAAAAATATTTTGAAATGTCATATAAAATGTTGACTTTATCCCCACCACTTTTATATTTTTATCGTTTACACTGTGAGGAATTTCCCGCCAATTTTTTTTATCTCGCAGTTTCGTCTTAATACGTTATTTTGTGTGTTAAATAAACATATCCAAGAGTTGTTTTTTAACTGCTCATGATAACCTTTGGGGTCTACCATTAATCGTGAGATGTTTTAATCAAGTTTTTGACTCCCCCATCTTTCCTAAATAAAGTTTTCGTACGTGATGTTGAACTTTTCAAAATAATACCTATATTTACCTGCAAAATAATACGATTTGATTCATATTCCCACAATCATGAAATTACTTTCCTATTTTATTTTATATTGCAAAAAATATAGCAACAGTTATAAAGTCGGTAAAATTTCCTCGCAATTTGTAAAGTTTAGTTAGTACCAAAATTATTTCTAATACAATGTTTTTTACTATTATAGTTTTCATGACATACAATACTAAAAGAATTAAGAAAAAAAACCGCTTAAATGATAATAATTTATGTTTATTATAGAACTAAAAATATACTTTTATCACTAATGGAAGACATTTTGTTTTTACCATTATAACAACTACATTACAGAAAGACAGGGAGGAGGCTCATTTAAATCCATTCCAAATTCATTTAGGCCATATAAATCTCATATAAATACAAACAGAGTACTTTGATGGCAAATCTATACGAATAAAAAGTGATTAAAACACACCACACGATAGTAATAGCGTTTTCAAATCTGTTCTATTAAAAAAAATGCTTTTTTTAAATAAGGTAACACCTACAACTAGACAAAGGACATTCGCTCCAAAGTTCAAAAATAGAACTGACACGTGACTAGTACATTTTTAAACTTAGTTATGGAATCGCTTCGGAGTCTATGCACTTTGTCCATGGCTGTCAAAAATCCAATATGTGGTTCTCCTTAGCGTTCTGGAAAATAAAATATAAACGCGCACTAACAGCTATGCATCTTACTGATATTTCTAAGTGAGGATTCTACTAAGTGATGATCGACGATACATTTGTTTAAACCTACGCGCACCACGGCACTTCAGCGTCGAAGACATGCCTGTGTGGATGTAGGGCGTGCGCATGTGCGTGCGCGTGGTGTGACGCCGGTGCCGGCGATGGAGAGCCGTGGAGCAGCTCGCACATGAAGCCGATATAGGTGATAGCCAGGCGCAGCGTCTCGATGCGAGACAGACGCTTCTCGTAAGCGAACGTCGGCACCTGCAGCACACAATCTTTAAGACATACGAGCAAGCATCCACCTGATAGTGAATCTACACTGACATCTGCAACGGCCAGGGATGTACAGTAAAATGATATTTCTCTTCCTATGTTCCTATACATCAAATGCACTATCCCATCCCATTCAAAGTTATGGAAGGTAGAAGAGTCCTAGATTTGTCCTTCTGCGAAGTCGTGGTATTGCAACGATCGAACGGATCATTCATGCAGCAGCTACTGCAGCTCCGGATTATACCATAGTTAAAAGTCGTAAATGAAATGTGGTCTTCGCTTAATCGACAAACTCTGTCCAGTTTTTAATACTTAATCATTGGCTGATAAGATAACACTAGCTGCTGGTCTACCTTCCGTCTCAGCTTGTCGAAGGCCTCGTTAAGATTGAACATGCGGCGGCGTTCGCGGATGTTGGCGGCGCGGCGCTGCGCAACCGAGGCCACACGCCGGCGCGGCTTCTTGCCACCTGCCACCGCGCGCGCCCCGCCACGAGCTCCGCACCCGCCCGCAGACCATACTGAATGTAAATAAAAGTGTAATCTGTGGTTATTGCAGTAACTAATGACTGAGGGACAGATTACATAAAGAAACACTCATCAATCCCTCAATAAATATAACAAGCCATTGCTTATGTATTAAACGTCTAAGTGGGTAGGAAGTAGACAACTCGACCCACAATTCGTTTGCATTGTCTCAAAGTGAATACTCCCAAAGATTTACCCAGGTCAGTCGGAGGAAAGGCCAGTATATCGGGGTAGGGCACGGAGGCAGGAGGCGCCTCCCACAGCGGCCCGTACGGCGACACCTCGCTACCCTGTAACAAAATAAAGTATAAATAAATAATAATAATCGTTCGTTTTATTGTGCAACACATGTTAGCTACTGTAACATTTTAAAATTCAAGGTAACAAATGTTTTGTACAATTTAAATGTAGGCATACCGCCTTTTTTTGTTTCTTTTTGGCATAAGTGGGTAGGTACTTTTAAACCTATACCGGTTCGGGCGCGCACGATTAGCCGTCGCCGTGCGCTCGGGAGATTTTCGAGATTTACGTAGATTGTGATAGTATAGGTTTACCGATTTACAAATTTTGGAGATAGGCAGCGATCGTTTCGCTAAACAATATCTGGCGGCCAATGGCTAATTTAATTTATACTGCACACAACAGCATCGGTCGCGCCTATTGACTTACTGACCCGGTAGACACCAAAGTAATCAGTCACACACAAGCGGTGAATAGGACATCAAGGTGAGTACTCATCATATTATTTACTATAAAGTTATGTAGAAGAAGCAAAAGAGGTATGTCAGGACTCTGCCTACCTCTCTGGGTTACTGGCGTAAATTATGTTGTTGCCGTTGACATGCAACGCCTAGTAGAACCCGGCTTATACGGCATACTAAAGTCCATGTAAATATAGATTTCGACTAAAACTCTTTTATACTATTACTAAAAAGCATCTTGACTGTAGCAGATCGTATTTGGACATACTTTCGACACAATTAAATTAAATAATAAACAATTCTTTAATAATTTAATTTTTAAATTAATATTTTAAGAGGAAATCCAAATACTTGCTCAAGGATTTTACTGTAAAGGCGATAACAATATCAATATGTTCTAAACCACGATTTCCGCTTATTATCCTTATAAAAGCAAAAACAGGATGTACCATTGCCAAAACATGATAATCTAATTTTAGTCATTACAAGAACATATACAGTTCTATTATTCGTAAATATTCATTTTAAATTGAATAACAAATTATTTCCATACGTTACAGTATGGCCACGAATTCCGGTAAAATTAGTTTAACCAATTAGTTGCCGTAAAAGTTAGAAATGTTTTTGTTTATTTCCAACATTTACTAACAATCGTTTCGTGAACTATAAGATTTTCTTCAAATACGCTATAAATGCCAATAATCAGTCAAATAGTAATTAGGTATAGATATAATCTGAAAATTTAATTATAAATGCGAAAGTTTAGATGGATGGATGTCTGTTTGAAGATATCTCCGGAACGGCTCAACAGAATCAACGGCTCACTGAAACTTGGTATAGTTGTAGAACATATTTTGAAAGAAGTCGGGCGGAAGAAATAGGGGACGACAACTAATATCGAAATATTTACAATCCTATCTGAGCACTATCTTTCTTCTTTCTTTTCTGTATTCATTCCGATTACATGGTGATACTGATTAAGCGCGCGATCTTCTATCGGGGGACTAAAAGTATAGTGTGCGGAGCCTCGAATGGTGTTAGTTTTATATATTATTTTGTTTGACTTCACTCTCTTCTCGATACCTTCGTCTGAGACTTGGCAGTCACCCGTGTCCATCACCGCTCCACCTTCCTACATTGTTAATGGGCCATTGGATTTGCGACCGGTAAGGTAGAGCAATAGGATTCTTCTTATATGACCATATTTAACTACCGTATTACTGAATTGAAATATTACACACTGAGAACCATCCTCTAACAGTTATCGATCAGGAGATAAAAAGAGTGTTTTGAGAAGTCTAAAAGATTACGAAAATCAAGTTATTAGCTGACTAGTTGTGGTCCGCGAATCCGTCTGCTCGGAATTAAAGAGAAAACTTAATTAGTAGCCTATGTGTTCTTGCAGACTACGTTCTACATCTATGCAAGATTTCACCAAGGTTCATGCAGCCGTTCTTACAATATTAGCTAATAACATACTGAGCTGGTCCAGACGTGCGGCGTCTCGCTGCCGTATGACATCAGCGGGAAATGAATCTTGATACTTGTTATTACCACCACAAAGTAAAACTACACCTCACCAGGTCGGTGCTGTTCCACGTTAAGGCAGTCAACTTCGACCTGACACACCACAAGAAGCTATCACACTGAATCAAAATATTCAATATCTCCCAACCATCCCCCGAAAGTCGTGCAGAATTATTAAATTAAATTGCAACGTAAATTGAACGCTATACTAATAGTTTTACAGTGCAAATATAAATACATGCTAAATAACACCCCAATAGACTGCGACGACAGATTTCTCGCTCCCTATTGGTGGTTTTAAGGGTGGCTGAGGGTAGGACTCGTTGATTCGCCGCAGCCGGTGAAATGGGCGGGCTTATCGACTTCTGGACAGATTGAATTATACATATTATTATGAAATTTCGCTAAAGCGTCGGTCTTGAAATAGTACTATGCCATTACTGTTCAAAATTTTTTTCAGGATTAGTTAAGTACGATCCATTTTAAAAATTATAATGGGTAGAATCTCTAAATGTGGCCATTTTAAATAACTTTGCTCAATTTTAAATTAATAATGACAATATTTATAAAACAAAATATAAAACAGACAAGTAGGCGTCGTAGACCACAGTATAATCAAATGAATATTTTAAAAAAAACAATATTTTTTTACCGGCCAGTAACACATCAGCACCGGCAAGTAGACATCAGGTTAACTTTCCTTGTTCATAATTTATACTAATATTATAAAAGCGAATGTTTAGATGGATGGATGGATGGAGGTTTCTTTGAAAGTATCTTCTCCAGGACGGCTGGATGGATCTTGCTGATATTTGGCATGGATGTAAAACATACTTTGGTAGATCACATAGGCTACTAATTATTTTTCTTTAATACCGCGCGGTCGGAGTCGCGGGCGACAGCTAGTTTTTCTATAAAAAAAAGAAGATAGGCGTGTCAGCACAGATGGTTACATTTGTCACAAGAGGGCGCGTTGGGGTCTGTCACTTTCCGCGCGAAAATGACGCGAATTAGGTAAATCCGATGGGTTAACGCTTTCACGGTCACGCTCTTTTGTGTTCCTTTACTCCATATGTGATTGATTAATACAATTGTTATACACATATTGTATATTTTTCCCTACAAAATGTATTATAGACGCCGGCACTGAGAGCGACATTAATTCACAGATTGTACGATGGAGTTCTTTGGGTTGTTATTAACAATTTCTCAGAAATCGAATAGAACAAACAAATTTATCCATTTATGTTTATTCTATATTAGCTGTCGACAGCGACTTCAACCGCGCGGAATTCAAAAATAATGTTAATAAATCGCCTATGTATTCATCCAGACTATGTTCTACATCTGTTAAAAATTTCATCAAGATCCATTAAGCCGTTCTGGATATACTCGTACCTTCAAACATCCATCCATCTAAACTTTCGTGTTTATAACATTAGTAAAATTATTTTATTTACAATTATGAGAAATATTAACACGTAGAATATGTAATATTTTAACAGTGATAGGCCCCGCTTTAACATCTTCGCACGTATTGGCCCGGCTCGCCCGGTGAAATACCACGACCACACAGAAGACAGGCGTGAAGTGGTAGCAATTCCGCGTTTCGTCTGATGAGTGTGCGTCCCGGAGGCCTAATTTAGTCCTCTTTCCCTTCCCACTCTTTTTCTTATAAGGAAAGGATGGGAAGTGGATGTGGACTTTCCGGATGACAGGATGCATGGAAAGGGATAATATATTTTCTTTCTGTGCACCATCTCCTCCGTCAATTAAAGGTAGGCATCGCATATGCAATTGCGTATGTCTATGGGCAACGGTCATTTTACTATATCAGCAATTTCAGGTGAAAGCTCGCTCGTTTGCCACCTTATGATATAAAAAAAATCAATTGACTAGTTAGAAAGTTTTGCATGAAACAATTTACCGTTCGAGGTTCGAGTTGTTACGGTTCGAGGCAGAAGCTTTAAAAATAATAAAACTTCCAACGATAATTTTAAGAGCTCATTTTAGAATAATCCTTGGCTTAGTATCTTCTGTGTATCTAACAAACATTGTATTATAAAAGGAGGCAGTTATCGACGTCAAATTATAGGATTTAACAAAACATGTCAACTGAATTACACGCTTCAATTACGAATAGTAGAGGGTGGAATGGTTTTATTAAATCTCGGGGCGTGGATACGCACGTGTTCTTAGGGGAGATGAGAAATATGTTTTGATATTGTTACTAATCTGATATCAGACTCTTATTGTATTCTAATTGGTTTAGGGGACTTTGTGACGCGTATTGTTGTCTAACCAACCTAGATACATCGCGTTGTGTTTGATCTTAGTTCATTAGATTATGAAAAATCTGTGCATCTACTTAAAAGCATAATAAGTCCGAATTTATAATGTTCTACCATACAACATTTAATTAATAAAGGATAAAAGACAAACAATGTAAAAAGATAAATTTTTTATCTTTTTATAACAATTCATGTATAATACAAATAAATTATTTAAGAAATTAAGGCATATTGAATACAGCCGAAAGTGGATAAGCTAGTAACCAATATAAGCGAATGTCATGTCCCTTTCGAGACGGACGACCTTTATAAGCGAGAAACTCGAAATGTCGCTTATCAAAGACGCTTAATCGTCGAATAGTTAACCAACTTAGAAGGGTTAAATATAAAATTGTAAGTTTTTGATATTATTATTATTATTTTAAGTAACGCCAAAGCGTTTCTAACATGATAATGTTATTTTAATAAGACGCAACCGTGAATAATGCCGCCAACCCCTCGCCCTATTAAATGATAAGGTATCCATGAAACATTATATTCTGGGACAAAATTGTCAATATGGCAAAAATATTGAAAGAAAGTTAATTAAAAAATAACAATTATATAATAAATAATCTAATTGGTTTTTTTTTATAACTTTCGTGGTTATAACTGTCGTAATGCTCGAAAGAAACAGGGAAATATGTGATGGTTTAAAAGCCGAATTGTCGTCATAATTCTGGACTGACTACACTGTTGTACATAAGTAGAATGTGCCAATTATGGAGTGGAAATTGACCCATATATAAGATACTAGCTGTCCGATTCCCATACCTACTCAATATGCTCACAAAATTTCATGAGAATCGGTCGAGCCGTTGGGAACGAAAATTGTGACACGAGAATTTTATATATAAGATTAAAGAATTCATGGACACCCTAATCTGTATGAAATAGTTTGCACAACACAACTGTTTGACCGTGTCCAAGTGACGATCTGTTACTCCAATTATCCACATGACGCTTCACATCTATCATTCTTTTTGCACGCACATTTGATATAAAAATTATCAATATAACTAAAATAATTTTATACTTATTGGCAAAGATATAAAATAACATACTAGCTGTCGCCCGCGACTTAACCTGCGTGGAAGAAAAATACTTATTAATAGTCTATGTGTTCTTCCAGACTGATGTGCAAAATTTCATCGAGATCCATTGAGCCGTTCCAGAGATACCTTCGAACAAACATCCATCCATCCATCCATCTTAATTTTCTAATAAATATAATTTTCACAAAGATGGAATGTTTCATACAATTTTCACGTCTAACCTATAGTCGATTTTCTAAATGTTGCTTTACGAGGGCCTTCATTTCGCCTCATTTTTGTGGTTACGTATCTATAAGTTATCTATCTTGTATTAGTTTTGGTAAACGCAAACTAAAAATCTCGAATGCGGTCCTTCGAGCAGGATATTTTACTTTTTATAATTATAAGTAAAAATAAAACAAAACACCAATTTTGATAAATTTATCAATATACTAAGAAGTTTATTATGCGTACTTTTTATATAAATTTAATTACAAAGTTATAATAGTTATGTGTTGTGGGCGTGGCCACTAGTCCTGTGGGCGGGGCGATCACGTGACCTCCGTTGTCAGGAGGAGTCCTTCACTTTGCCGTTCTCATTGGCTTTGGTGATACGTTCCATTACCTCGTGGTTGTAAGTCGAATGTAACATTAAACCTAACACACCAGCCCTGAAAAAATATTTTTTTTTATTAAATACTAAGCATTACATATATCAACTAGCTGACGTCCATTCATCGAAATCGAAATGTTCAAATCAATTTTTCAACAAGTTATAGTGAATTAAGAATCTATTTTATTTAATTTTATAAACTTTTATATCTAATTTCGCTTAAACGACTGAACCGATTCTCTATCTTCGGTTCATCATCAGTTGAGATGTTCGGTTATAGTCCAACAAGGATATCTAAACCTGGGAGGCTGGTGTCGCAGTTAGTTCAGTCTGAATATAAATAAAAACTACTTAAGACATAGGAAATGCCATGACAGTAACCGTAGAACGAGGATTTATGACTTTTTTTGACATTAGCTGAGGGGCGCTAGTGAGATGTCAGTTCAAATATCTGTGCGTGTGTACCATCATCATCAGCTCACTATACTTCCGCACCGAGGGGCTCGGAGCCTACATTAAGTTAAGGGTGATTAGGCCATAATCAACCACGCTGGCCAAGTGCGGGTTGGTTGAATTCACACATATCTTGCATGTGTATAGTTAACAAATATTATTTAAGTACCTGGATGCCATAGCCAATCTGATGCTCCTCTCCTGGTCGACGAGCTCGTCCAGCCTGAGCCACTGACGCACGCGCTCCATGTCTATCTCGGCGCGCCGCAGCTTCTCCCACTGGTAGTGCTTGAGACAGGACTTCTTGGGGGCGCGGCAGAAGTCTCCCGTCGGCTCGAACACGTCGCGCACCAGCGGACATCCGCACACGTCCGTGTCGCTCACCTTCGGGTCTTTGAAGTGTTCCGGACACATCACCTGGATAATCAATCACACCATTTGTAAAACCACATTAAAAAATCATGGTGCAATTAGGGAAAGAAGACGAATTGACACCTCACTCGTCAAAATCGGTTCAATGTAGGCCGTAGACCGTCACAAAGTAATCTTATTTGTTACTAATATTATAAATGTTTAGATGGATGGATGGATGTTTGAAGTTATCTCCAGAATAGCTTAACGGATCTCGTTGAAATTTGGCATACATATAGAATATAGACTGAAAGAACACA